AGGGAATATTTACTGGCATATATATGCATATATATATATATATTCACAATCAGAAGCCTGTGCACTCAGTACCCATGGACCTAAAATCTCCTGATTGATTGTGAACAAATATGAACAAAACATGACCATCTGAAACAAAGTACTATTTTCTGGGTGCCGTTTGCCAGTTTTACGAACACCACTCCAGCAGGTCAACTGATTAGCCCTAAATCAGCTTTTGGTCGCAAGAAGTTAGCTGATGACATAATGGATGAAGTATTCACCGGACATCCTTGTCTTCAAAGAGAAGGCACAAGTATATTTGGGTGAAGTTGTATACGATTCGCACCCACAAAGTGTAAATTCATGCTCTTGGCCATGTAGCCACTGAACACGTCGCTTACAATCCAGAGAGAGGCACTCAAAGTTCAGGCAGTCACTTATCTTGGAGGTTGTATTGTTTCTGATCGGAATGTGATGGTTGAGGTCTGCACTCCTCGGGTCACGTTTGCTAATTTGAGACACCTATGGCATCTATCCCAGAATCTCACGGGACGTGTGCATCAGGCCGTGGTACGGGCTATTTTGTTGTGTGGCTGTAGGACTTGACCTGTTTGAGCAGCAGAACTGAGACGTCTTTCACAGTCGCTGTCTCAAGACCATAGCTCGGTTTCGCTGGTGTCGGCGAATCCATAACTAGGCGCGTTTTCGGTTGTGACAGGAACTTCCATTGATGAGTGTGTCCAGCAACCAACAGCTGCGTTGGTTGTGTCATGTAGCGCAAATGCCGAATAATCGTTTGCCGAAGAAAGTGCTGTTTTAAATGCTCAAATCCAAATGGCGGAAGCAGAGAGGCGGCCAAGCTTTGACCTGTCAGAGAGGTATGAAAGAGATTACGGAACTTGTGGGTGCTGTCGGTGCCACTCGCCCACCAGGATGAGGACCGCGTGCTCCTCAATCCGTCTAGTTGGAGGCGCTGCAAGATGTGGCTGCAAATCGATCTCAGTTGTCGGTCTCTACCCAGTATATTAATGAGTGTCTGGGTGTATAGGCACCTCGGAATGATCGTGGTAGGATAGCACTGAGTCCATTCTCCGTTCACTTTTATTCTTTTCTCCATGAGAGGGCTTTCAAATAAATCGCGGTAGCGCGGCAGCAGAGCATCAGTGTTGAACACTAATGTCAATCTCCGTTTTGATATTTTCTAATATTGAAGCCAACTTGTTCCAGTCCAATGTAGCTTCACCCTTTCTACTGCACACCAGAGAGAAGCTAGTTCTCCACCAGCCTAGCTGTGAGAAATAGTCTTGTTTTGTCCTCTCTCATATCTACAGTATGGCCACATGATCGCTAGCGTAGTCTGTCAAATCACGGAAAATCAAACATCAAGACTTGGAGTTTTATATAGAAAACCTCTCTTCGTTTGCGTTGACCTTGCTGTTCCTACCTACGCTATTGATGTGCCAGGAAAAACCAATCGGAATCTCATAGTAAAAAGGCCAGTGAGATTAATCATACACATCGCCCTGTCGGAGTACTTCTTACAAGTATCAGTTCAACTAGTAATTGTATCGTTCGTAGTGTGATGCCTAATCACGAGCATCCGAAAAGTCTGTTTGGTGCTGTGGGTTAGGTACGGGGTTCCTTGATTCTCTCTACCTCTCGAGACCCCGATCAGACTACTTTCAAACTCTGGAGAAATGAATTCCCATAATTTTAGGGAAAATAGATCCTTTTTGGTTTCACGCTGATTTACTCATTTCTACAAAGATTCAAATTATTTTAGTGAGTTAGGCAAGTTACAATAGTGCCTGTGGTAAAATATTTTTTCAAAGAACAACGTGGTATTTGAGACTTGGTTGCATTAATTGTCATATAAATGTCCTCCTATAAATAATCTTTTTTTCGTAAAAAAATCGCGCCTCTCCTTTAACAACGCTAGTGTCCTTTCACAAGGAAAACGGTTAGGCGACATCTCCGAAAGCACGGCTGCACAGGTCACCATTCATACTGTCACTATTTTCCTAATCAACACAGAAGGGCAAAATTCGTTGGTGATAGGGGATTCTTAAGTTTCATTCAAGGATTCCCTCGAAAAAGTGTCAAGTCGACCTCTGTTAAAAATCTCAAGCGCTTGGTGCACTTGTTTTCCATCCTTAAGAATGTTCAAGCCCGTATTATTCCAAGAACTTAAGTTGGATGTTGAACGGTGTCATTAATCTGTACTTCTACATGATGCCATCTACCCTTGGTCGCGTTGATGCATAACGAACGCACTTGTAGCGATCGTTTCTTATGCTAGTCGCTCGTCTACTTATATTTGTAAGTAGTTTGAAGAGCTCTGAGAACCGAGGGAAGGGTTACGGTTAGCACAACTTATGCACGACACGCCAAGTGTTTCAGATTTACTGAAAGCGTCAGCTGTCTGTCTAAACCACATCTGGGATACTGTAGGCCAAATTCAATGGAGTTGGGCTACCAGAGTTTGCCGAGGACTGTTACTCATGTAGAGTCCTCGTTTTAATGTTCGGACGACACCGAAAAATTAAACGGTAATCCTATTCAAATTTTCGTTATTGCAAAGTCGCTCGATCACATTTTGTTTTGGACGCTGGATTTTTAGATCATGTTCAAAAAAGTTGAGAAATATATCTTACGACAAGGAACTGGCAAAAGTTGGGTTTCACTCTACTGTGTTAAGTTATAACCAGTAGATTGTGAAAGCCGACTCCCAATTTCGATTTCTTTCGGTAAGCAGTGCACTTGTACTGTAACCAAACTAAAAGGCTTTGGGTCTGAGAAAACCAAACAAAGCACTCAAATATGAACTTCGTCACCCGTTCAGGTGTGAGACCTGGAATGGGTCCGACATTAACCGATGATTATCTACTCGGTGGTCTTGTCAGAAAACTGTAGCTCGGATCCCAGTACACCTGAAATTAGGAGCTACAGTAAGAATAAAATTCGTGTCCAATGGTTTTTCGTTTGATGTCGGCTAACCAGAATAAGTACAATGGATCATTCGACCGTGCGTTACATGGAAACAAAGAGTAAAATAAACGGATGAGGCTGTTGATAATAAGTCTCACAGTATAATGCCTCATTTGCAATGTTTGTAATCCAATGAACTTCAGGTGCCCATGCTGCACCCACGGAGAAGCACTGGCACCATTCTGTTTCCTTTCTTTTTTCGTCGAACTCAAAGTTTCGCTATCACGTTTTCGGGAAAATTTTGTAACTGAACCGGTAGCATTCATTTTTGAAGCCTACCCGTCTTAGTTCGTGAGCATAACTCCATCCACTAATTGTGACGGAATTCGCGCTTTCTCTCTGAATCGGAATGGAACAAAAGAACGCATCATTTTAAACTTCACTTAAATGCTTGAAAATGTGTCTGGTTCACTTGCATCCTTAAGAGCATTCTCTAGAGCCGAATCACTTCACACTACGATCAGTCTTTTAGTGGTTTAGAGGAGGAGTAATTTCAAACGATAAGTGAAACATCCATCTGAGAAGTAGTCACTCCAAGAGTAGGTTATCACCTGTGACCATGTGATTTGGGTTCTGTAGTTAAAGAATGAATGGCGCTATATCCTGTCTAAGTGCAAGTCAATCACAATGCTGATTAATGCTGATATTCGTCCGTACCCGAACGATTAAGTGTTCAGACTACTTACAGGGAAGTCGCAGGTTCGAGACTCTGAATTTTCGTCTGATGCTCACCGCTGATGATTCCCACTAAGGAATCAAACAGCCGTACAGTGCCGCTTGGCTTTTTAGCATAGAATAGCCTCAATTATGAAGGAAAATCTCGGTTAAAAATTCCATAAACTTGTACTGCCAACAAACTTCCAGAAAGATTGCTGACAATCAGCCAGATACATTCAGGGACAATGCGTTCATTCTAAAGGTTATCGACTGTTCAACATGTGTTACAAACGGGCTATTCGAGTCAGTTGGTCAGTAAGCGCAACACTAGCACGACTGTGGTGCCCAGCTGCCGTTCCATTCGAAGCAAGTGTGGATACTGGGAATTTGTCACGCTGGCCAGGACTAGATAGCAGCAGTCGAGATGCCGAGGTCGGGTTCGAACCGCTGACCTTCCAGTGGATATGTTCGCGCCTTAACCAATGAGCTATCTCGGCTTGGTTATCTGTGACCCCTGGATTGTATGCTCCTTATTTTTGCGCATTTCAAAACCGAACCTAGTGGCATTTGTTCGGGCTATCCCAGATATTGGCTGTGTGCTCACAGAAGGAATTGATCAGGAACTCGGATCAACCCACGAAGTGACTTTACTACCTACCTTTCTGTTCGCTGGTTGTTGGTGTTGTTGTTCACGACTGACAAGGAAAATTAAAAATGATTATCTCGCAACTTATGCAGTGTTGTTTTTCCTGACGAAGCTGAATAAGTGGCACGAGAATAAGGTTCGCAGTTAAGAGCAACATTCCTATCTTGTTTAACTGACGGGAGGATTGGTGACTCTACATCTTTCTGATTTGTATTCACGGGCACACGTTTTTTTGTATTTCAACGGTTCTTTGGAATTTCCCTTTACATTAACTACCAACAGAGCCCTTTAAATTACGGTTATATTGCTTCGGCATTCATTTGTGCTGAAAATGGGAAGGCAGTGAAACAAGATTAGTTACTGCTGCACACCATAAATCTTTGAGTTTGCACTTCATTCACTGGAGCTTTGCGAAATCCCCAGGATGTCTACATCCCTAAATCTCCCATCCCTATGTAAGCAGCCATTCATAGCCGTGTTTTAAATAAATAAATTATCACTGTGACTGTTTTTCCATAAACATGTCTGCTGAATCTGGTCGACGGTTGCTCTTAACTAACACACACACACACACACAAACGGAGTGCACTGATTTCTGCCCCAGCCACGTGACTTTTCTTCATCCCTCTGTGATGTTCATGTTTTGGCTTGATAACATGTCGCATAGTGTGTGTGTGTGGGGGGGGGGGAATGTGGTTGTAGTGGTTGCAGAGGGTTACAAAACAGATTGACAGTCGTAAGTTGTTTTGACATAATTTCAGTTGTGGATGGGACATCCCGTGACTTCAGCACGTATCCCAACGTGGAAATAGGGCAGCGCGAAGCCGTTAATCTATTTCTCAGCCTTATTTAAACGCATTCAATCATGCTGTTAGCAGAAGGAAACCGCTAATGGAACCATCTGCGAATGTCACAGAACGGCAATATCTTCACTAAGATTTTGCTTTGAAACTGGGCTGAAAACCCTAAAGAACTGTCTTTCTATTCTTGTTTATTTTTAAGGGAACCGTATTGACAGAGAGACATCGAGTGTCCGTCGGTGACTTTAATCCGACCTGAGATGTCGTTCCTTCGTAGCGGCGAGGCTCGGCCCTCAGTAATTTGTACTCTGCGTTCTTCAACGTTACTGATGAAGCCACCTGTTTACCAACAGAGTTGAAAGCTGTTTCGAATGCAGTAACTGCAACGATCATCTGAGTGACAAGAGTCAGAAGTTACAATGACATCAGCTTGACACCCGGTATGGTGCTTCTCAAGTTAGTCGGTTGGAATGAGGTTCAAACCTCGTCTGACCATAGACAAAAGTGCTTTACTTATATTTTCCACTTTGAAGCAGGTGTCCAAAAAGCGCCACTCCTTCCGCTTCCCTGAATGGGTCCACTTATCTGAACTATACTTCTGATTTCAGCAGTATCCAGGCAGCCCGAGATAGCTCGGTGGCCAAGGCGTGAGCTTACTGACCGGAGGATCCGTATTTCTAATTCATCCTCAGTATCCCGACTGAGGTTGTGCGAGGTAGAATTACCTAGACCCTTGTGCTTCTTCCGAGTGGCATGACAGCTAGGCTGGCTGAATGATTATGGTTATTACGGTTTATTATCACTATACATGGCATTCGTTCATTTAGTACCTTTACTAGTGGCCCTTTATTCCGACTACTGTTGATGCGTGTGGATAGACCTCAAATTCTGGTGCGAATTCAGGGTGATAAATTGTATGGAACAGGTTAACGTTTCCCCTCAGTCCTACCTTTATGTACTAATTATATAATACTTGTTCATGAGCGTCTGCCTCTCAAGGACTTGATCGATAACAAAACTAAATCAAACTGAAACATATACGGGTTCCTTAACATGTCTGGAAGATACACGTTTGCCTATACGTTAAAAGAAACTGGCCTGACGGTGCAACTGAATTTCCAATGCGTTTGAATTTCGGCAACTCAAAGTTAGTTGTCACTTGACATATTTTCTGGTAAACTAATATCTTGGTTAAAAATCTGGTTGTTAGAAAACTGCAAGCAAGTTCACCATGGTCCATTGGTGATAGACGAATACGAGTTCGATTGCTCTGGGTTTCAACCACAAGAAACAGGTTCGTAAGAAACAAATCAAATGTATCAAGAAAGCAAGAGAATCACAAGTCAGCTGACAACTGTTATCATCAGGTTAATATTCGCCGCGACCTTTGATTGGTTGTGGTGAGAAAATCGCACGCGCCTACTGAAGATCGTTCATGTTTTGGTCGCTGTAACTCTGGGAGAGTTTTGTCATCCACAAACATGTGTTTTGAGTCAATCGAGAATGCAGCCAAAGTTAACTAAGCAAGGCTGAACTGAGCGGGATACACCGCTTACTGATATTTCTCATCGACCATAACCACACGGTGGAAATCGACTGAGGTGTATTTCGACCAGCGAACGTTTGTTTGTTACGAACCGAAAAGCAGTTTTTGAATCGGTTGGCCCAAACATTTTTCAATGTGGTTATTGTTTACGACACGAGGACACTCGTTTTATTTTTCAGTTGTTGATGATGATATGTGTTTTTTGGACAGAAAGTGTGCATCTTTGGTGTTCTGTGACCCACAGTTTTAGCTAACTGTTACTCTTCTACGTAGATGGCAATGCGATTCCAGCAGCTAGTACTATACACAAGCATTGTGGTCGCCAGGGCTAACCAAACGTAAATTTAGCACGGACTCCACACTTTCAGATTGTCAAAACCGCGTGAGAATTTCTATCGAGTCGTTCCGATTTGCGGAGGGTGGGAGCGCCTTTAGTGAGTACGCAGCAATTCGTTTGGTGTTCATCGGAATCATGATATCGAGTGTACTGAATCGTTTTTGGCTCCATAGTCACAACCAATCCTAATTCTTCGGGTCTGGGAAGTTTAGTCTGCGAAGTTCAATGAAGGCCCAGCGTGTCACTGAAAAATCCATCGAGGTAGCTTAGTATGTTCGGCAGGTCACTCGGAATGCTTAGATGCTTCGTATAAGTACGTATCGTTGATTTGATCTTTGCATTACTGAGCACTGCAATTGACCCACGTCCTAGTGTATGTTCCGACGTCTCAGTGCTAAAATATTCAGTGATATTCCCGACGGACCAGACTACTCAATACGGTTGTTGAAAACTTCCAGCAGCCCTTTACAGGTTTTGCTCTCTTTGGAGTGCATCAGCTTGACGTACTCACGGAGTTCCCGTCAGCCTTATGTTGTGCTTCAACACCGAATTGTCTGTGATAGGCGAATGCGCTCATTTGCTTATTACCGTAAAGCGGAAGTTTGTTATAACCTCCTGTTAGCACCAAAATAATTTGCAACTTAGTGTAGTTGGATCAGTGACTTTATTTAGCACAATCATTTTCATCTAGCAGGATTTGTGGAGAAATGGTTCGGTTTACCTCTTTCTGGAGACTCACAAAAGCGATGTTCTGCTGCATTTACATTGGATTTATAGCCCAGTAGCTTCCCTCCTAAGAAAAATCATTCTCGACCACTGAAGGTTTATTTGAAGCCTAATTCCTATGAAGCTATCGAACCCTGATTTTTGTACCAACCTCAATATAGTTTTGACTTTTTTTTACTGGCTAATCACTTCAGTGGGTACTGTTTAGCCCACCTTTCCGAGTGACAAATAATAAGTTTCTCGCTGCACATCTTACACCATCAAACACCCTTGGGTTTCTAAAGTCTGGTGTAGTTAGTATGCAGCAGCATATGCTTCCTCTCCAATCGTGCTCTATCCGAGGCGAAAATATATACTGGTTCGAAATCAGGATTGGTGTTTACATCCTTCCACAAGCACTTGTATGTCTGTAAGACTCCTTCACCTTAACCTGTCGTTGAACTTGTATCTCTGTAACCATGACGTTTTTAAGCAAAATGGACTAACCATCTGTAGGTTAACCATCCTAAGTCCGAAAAATCGTTCAGCTTTAGCACCCTTTCGGTGCCTAACCGCCGTGCCACCCTCAGGTTGCACGAGGGCTGGGATACTACCCGGTTGCCCAAGCCTAGACAGGGGAAGTCGAGAGGCAGAGGTCGGACTCCAACCAGTTGGGCCATCTCGCCTCCTCCAGAGTCCAATTAAAAACACTTGATTGCATACTCTATGTTTTTGAAAAACGAATCAAACCTGAATGTCACTAACAGATAATTTTCTACAATTTTTGGGTTGTTGTGTCGCGCTCTGCTAAGGGAAGTATGCTTGGTTCTTCGGAGTCCAAGCCCCTTGTAAAATAGCTTGTTATTTGTAATACAGGTTGTAATACAGGTTTGCGTTGCATCAAGCGACATACTGAGGACCACGCACAATGTCCTGGCCCGTTTCAAAAGGTTGGAATGCAGTCTGTTTCAATGAAGCTGTTTGTAAATTATATTTTCTTCCCGACCGCGTTACCCCAGAAATATTTAAAAACAACTTACTCCTCCATAACTGTTTAACTTATCAAGAATATTTGCTAGATACAGAGGGGGCCTGATGCGTTCGTAGTCATGAGCATGGCTTTGACTTTAGCTCTGGTGGAATTGTTCAATTTACGGTACAGAAAGCTAAGAGTTTTGATGACTTGCACGAGATGGCCCTTTGGACGGGGTATGACTGAAGGAGCCGTGCATGATCTTTGATTTTTATCACTCGTGTTAGCTGAAATGACATTTCGGATGCCTCTTTAAATGGTTGACCTGACGGGGTCGAAATGGCAACTCTGTTGGACACCAAAACCTAGTCATACGTGAAATCATCTTCCACAGTGGTCTGACATGGATTCGCCGTTGATGCTCCAAAACACACTGGTTTTCATTTCCCATCTCGCGCACCACATGATCATATAAGCTGTATTGCAAAATTGCCTTTCCGACCATCAATTCACTGACCCATTCGATTTGAATGGACCGAATCTTGCCTTTCCGACTGACCCATTCGATTTGAATGGACCGAATACGAACCGAATAGCAAGATAGAGGCGGCACAGCGCGCGTCGTTGTGGGAACGATTTTGTGCGGGAGCCCGTTGATGGGATTGTGGATTAAACGAAGGTCGACGTGACACGATCACACTAGGTTCCCTTTTCCGAAACGAGAAACATATTAGTTTTTACTTCTGATGCAGTTTACCCATGTTGATGCCAGCTAATTTTGTAGCATTGTTCGCCTCAAAGTGAGCCTGCGTGCGAAACGCATAGGCATAATGGTTTAGGGAAGACCGTTCAGAAGGTCCGTCAGCAAACTATGACAGTTAATTCGATTTTCGTAGCATCGGGACTCCTGGTAGCTCAAGTAGTGTAGGTGGTCTTTAGATTGTTCACTGAGCCGAATACGCCAGTGAACAAACACACGACCATTTGGACAGTCACCAAAGATGGGATTCGTCTACATGGGAAGAGCAGTACTTTTCTGATATGCGGGCATTTTTTCTAATCCTCTCGCAGGAGTTCAAAACAAACACACTGCATCAGAAGCTCAACTGTCTTAGCTCTGCTAGCACTACTGAGCTTGTTAGTTTTGTCGACAGGGACATCTGTTATCCATGTCGTATGTTTAACGTGCTCAAAGATGTCTAGCATCCAGTTAGCTCACAGAGTGCCTGTAGGGTGACAAGATAACGCTAGGAAACACTACTGAGACCCCCTTGGGGATAACATATTTGCTGTGAGCTCACTAAGTCTCCCTTGGCCCGAGTTAATTTTAGTGCGGCTTTCTCTGTTACTTTAAAACCAAAGTAAGCTTGCCTACAAATATATTCTGAGGCAAAGTTTAGATATCATATTCATGACATTAGGTAGAAACTGGTTACGCCAAACACTGAGTAGTTTTACCCAGCATGTGGGCTAACGGTATGTATTGCAGATAATCTGTGGACTTCGTCTGTGCTCATGTCGAAGCCAGTTTTATTGTCGGCCAGAGTTTAGTCGAACTCCGAGTTGTCGGTGGTTGACTGACGCCTGAAGTACCTGTTCGGGTGCGTACTCTACATCTAGTGACACAATGAATGTACAAGCTACTTGTGTGTTTTGAGTAGCGAAATATCCGGCAACATTGTGCTGTTGTCGCCTGTTCTAGCCTTTCCTTCCCTTACAAGTATTCGGCATACGATTGGCTGCTGAATCGAGATAACCCTTCTTGCTTAGAACGTGAAAGCTCATTTGTTTGCACACCCATCTAGGCAAGACCAAACCATTTTACCCAGTTCTTCAGCATTAATTTTCAGCATTATGTTCGCCGCAGCGCTACACTGCTCTGATAGCTTGCGTGAACTGACCTGTATCAGACACACTTATTAGCTCAATTCTCCAGATTTATTGGCGTTTGATTGAAACGCTTTTCAGGCAGGGCCTATTTGGTTACTGTATACTGTGATGGTTTTAATGGAAATTTCGTTCGGTAGGTGAAGCCAATCTATGATGAAAAGCCGAGGACTGTATTCATCTTCATTGGGAATTATCAGCAATGTGAATCTCACGAAACTCCAGGAAGTGTTGAATCCGTGACCTCTCAGCTAGTAGTTCCAACACCATATCGCACTTAGAACGGACATAGCGCCACTAATCTTTCACTCACGGAATCCAAATCACGTGGTCACACCTGTTGACTGGCTTCTCGCGTGAGGACTTCTCAGATAGAAGCTTCACTCATTGGGTGAATTTTTTAATTCTTCCTTTGAGCTACTTATATATTGTCGGTAGTGTTAGGATGTTTGATGTCGGATGTCTTTACAAGGGTTAGTAAACCGCATACCACAGTGGAGTAAACTTGGCACAATTTTCCCTAATGATAGGCACAAATATACATATTTAATGACTGATGTAACGAACGGGTATGTTGAAAAAATGGGAAAATATTTTGAAATACTCACTTTGTTTTTGCCACTTCCTTGGGTTAGCATGCGGCAGGTGGCTTGTGTCAGCTTTGTCATCTATGAGATACAGCTGTCAGGTCTTGGAGTTATCATCTTCGGGTCAGCTGATGTGGCAAGTGACCGTAGAAATGGACCAATCAACTTGCATTTTGGATGTTTACCGGATTATTCTACCCAATACTGCTTGACAGTAAATAGTTGCTGCATTCGTTGATGGTATATTGATTTCACCTAGCGAAAGACACAGTTCAGGAATGGGGTGACCCTCTCAGCCTTTGGTTTGTCGGAACACACCACACGGAATTCGGGGAAGCCACGCACCGAAAAATTATCATATAGATTTACTGGACGGAGTGCTCAGCCGAATGAACGCCACACCTTTGATAGTTCACCAAGCTAAACCATCTGGCTGCGGGTGTTCCTTCACCAGGGGAGTTGATATCACCGCACTTTTGGTGTATGTTCATGAGGCTACACAAATATGTACACGCGCCTGCAACCCGTCTACTGTATAGTGAGCTGTTTTTAGGTTGAGTCTTCTCATTTGCTTCCTGAACACTGGAGTCTCGTGACCGCCGTTGTCTGATCTTTAAGGCTCTCTTAAAAGCTATGGGCCAAATATCACAATACTCATTGTCAGTGGTTGTTGGATTGTTCGCTGACGTTGGGAGCAGTTTGTCAACAATCAATGCGCTTTCGGTTGGTGACGAAGTGTTTGCTAATCAAGTACCAGGTTCGAGGAGTAGGGTGACAACTTACATGAGCTATCAGTATTCCATAATTTTGCCGACTTAATTTCTGCGCCTGCTAACATGCCTCGTTTGACATTGATGTGGCTCTGGTGCTCTTGATCTTGTATTGCTGGACTGGGTCTCTCCTTGGATTTGATTCCAAATACGAAACAGACACCATTCACGATTACGATCGTCACCAAGTACCAAACAAACTGTCTTTCGATGAAACCACTACAAGGTAAAACATACTGGTACATTTATCGGTCAGTTTGTTGATACGAAGTTAATGCCGGTATATTTTGACGTCTTATGGCTTGTTTACCGTGATTCACTTATGCTACAAGCACAGCAAGCACTCACACCCCCAGACACATTAACAACTTATGTTAATTGCGACGTCAGTATTGAGAGTATTTGCTTGACTGCTCATGCCGCAGTAATCAATCGATCGGCTTTAGTTCAGCTGCAACATTCTTTCACTACGTAGCTGCCACGTCACACGGGGGAGGCACGTAGACCAAGCTTACCCAAGCCTAGACAAAAGGCACCGAGATGCCGGGTTTGGGCTTGAACCACAGACTCTCTGGTCAATCAGTTCGCGCGTTGACCAGTACCCCAGTACGACAATACATCTTCATCCCACATAATTTATTGATAGACTGGATTGAAGAAAACTCAAATAGGATGAAACTACCGGTGACTTATGTTATTTCCTACTTGCCAAATGAAATGGCTTTATCAGCGATTTGTTTGCCGTCATTCCTCATTTGTCATTTCTCTTCTCACTTCCATAATCAGGGGCGAATGGCCTCGGCTCCGTTCTTTGAGGTGAAGTTCGCCGACTTCTGGCTTGGCGATCAGCTGAATAGCATGACATTCTTGTTTCCCGAGATAGCATTCTTCATCTGCTTTTACACATCACAAGTCGATTGGTCTAATGGTTTGAAGTACGTCCCATTGCCACCAGACTTGAACGTCGCAAACGGAACTGTGAAACCCACTGTGCCAAAATGCGCTTATACTTTCAATACTTTTCAGTGTGAGTACTTTGATTTCGAAAGTTTTGTTCACTTTTTCTGTACGTCAGCAATGCGGATCACTTGTATTAAATAGCCTGACTCTAGGAATCTCATATTTGATAGGTAGACATCAGGTGACTGCCAAACCTGGTCGGCTCTCCACTGTTCGTTTTTGTTCGGTTGATAATTGAAGAAGTAATTTGTTTGCTTGGATTCAGCTTTTTTACCGAGTAAGTTATCGTCTGACAAAGTTCATCCTCTTTTCGTGGTGTCGAAAAATCTTTTGATCAACCGCGGTGTTAGTCGGTTTTCTTACCTATCAGTTCAATCTATAGTCTACAGTTTGTAACCGTCTGTAAAGAATTTTTCTACTGCTGGTCGGAAAATTGGATTTTTTTTGTCTGCAGTACAGGATTCATTGCCGCTCGAAAAAGTGGGCGCCTACGCTGGATTGTAATAAAATGTTTTTTAAATCACTATTGCTGTTAAGTTCCATAGAAAACGAAGAAGATGGCTTCATTGTACGGAGAACGGAGATATGTTGGCGAATGTTTTGGGCACGGCCTCCTCGGGTTGCACAGTTGCAAGGGCTACTTGTCCAGTGCGACTCCGAAGAAGTCAAACATATCCGGTCATTTTAGAAAGGTAGTCATATAATCGGAATAATGGGTGTGCACAACCACACGATCGGCTGTGAGAGGGAGACGTAGCATGCTGAGTTGTCGAATTAGGAGGAAACTGCCTAGAATTCTGTCCAGGGAATTGGAGGTCGTAAAATCTCTCGTGACAGCTCATTCCACAATCTACTACCATCTCAATCACTGATGATTTTTTGAACATATAAACGTATGAGAAAATGGACGACTCAGTAACCTGCCACCAGACATCTAGGTTACACTATTAGTAAGAGGAACCAGGGTTGCATCATGGTTGTGTTCAGTACCTTATATGCTGTCTTGGTTCAGAACCCGAATAAACTGTTCCTGATGAGAGGCCACCATCCACTGGGAGCCCTATATTTTTATTATTTCACTATTGCTCCGAAACCCGACTCCGTACATCATTGGTCAACATCACTTACACGGGAGCTTTCATTAGCGTGTGGTGATCTGTGTGGCAAGTACTGATAATTTCCAGTTTTGGACCATATTCTATAAGCGAACCGGTTTCTCAAGTTGCACATGGCTAATAGGACAGAAACGATTGATCTCCTACGGCAAAAAGCGAGCCAGATTTTATTCCACAAATTCGGGTGTGTGACTTCGTGTGGGAAATACAGTCCGTCATCGGAGACCACTTTTGATTAGCTTCACATAGTGTCGATAGCATCTTTCCACTCTGGAGATATCGGGTCCCTGCAAGGATTTTGAACCACTTTATAAGGCAGCTCCTCAAAAAAGGGACGAGAAGTCACCAGCTTTGTTTATCTACGGTGAAACCAGGTTTCCTTGTGCTTTCCTGGCGGTTGTGTTGGTACACAGTCATATTGTCGGTATGTGCCAGTATATCGCTTATGGAAATGAAACTGGTACTCTTAATCACCAAGCGTACCCGATTGCCTGTCCCTTTTGATACACTCTTTTCGCCCTTAACATTGATAAACTAAGAGCTATCATGTCTGCATGTCAAGGGTCATGTGATCGGGTGACATAGTGCATACAATGCCCTATTTATAGTCTCACATGCCCGATCTCTGGCCTCTCATTTTCTACTGTCCTGGTTCGTGGTTCGCTGGCCTAGACGCTGTGTTTATGCTGTTCCCATTTCTCACGATGAAAGCCTAGTGCAGACGATCGTGCAACCAGTCAGACAGTTTCAATAGGGAGTCCACCTAGCGATCGATGCTGCTTTGAAGAGATCAATCTCAATAAAGGTCCGTTTCAGAGAAGGCCACTTTCGGCTTGTGTCTTGATGCAACCTCAGTATCTTCGAGCGATATGCCATGCCTCCACAACCACTTTATTGCCCAAGAGCAGTATATTCATGTCAGTCACATGTTGGCAAAAATCCTTGCCAACGACTGTGACGTTTCTCAAGGGGTCATTTTGTCACCGCTTCTATTCATTTCATGGACTTGACGAAGTATGCCAATAAAATGGCTTTTGGCGAAACACATTTAGAACTAACGGGCACTTATTTTAAAAGAGCATAGAAGCCGCATGACAGCCGCACGGCAGACAAATCAACCCAAGGGCAGTGGGAATGTGTTCAGCCGAGACAGAGTGGACGGCCTGAGAATCCTTCAAGCATAACTGTCCCATAAACCACAAAGGTTAACTGCATGAAATATATCATAGTTGTGACCTTCGGCCCCATGACATATATATGTACATGTTGGTGTGTAGGTTATGTCATTTCATAAAAGACATTTCGTCCTCAAACAATCCGAAAAAGCGCACTCACCACTGACCTACCACCCACTTTCTTGTGGGCATCCTCAGTACATTTCTAGAATGGATTGTACTGTTACCAGACGACGCATGTGTGTTTTCACCCGCTTTCCCTAACATTCCGTAGAAATTTCAGCGAGATGTTCCCGCTGAAAGCGAGATCTGATTGTCTCAGACGTGACCAGTTACCTCCCCTTACGCAGTGCTGGTGGCAGTAACACGCAAGAATATCTGCGCATCAAACCCTCACGTTTCCTCCCCCGCTCATTTTCAGGCCCCTATAGAGCCAGAGCTTTTGAGGCAAAATTTTCCTCATTCGTTCCCCGTAGTGAGAGGTTCTTGTCCCGCTTAGTATCACTTACTTTGTGCTCAGTTTATCCTTTTATTCTTCAGTTTATACAAATATTATCTATACTTATAAACATATACAAGTATACATATATACAATACGTGGAACACGCTATGTCATTTTTCATGGACGCACGGTTAGGGTTGTCCAAGGAGGCCTAGTCCACTGTTAAACTATTTTCCGAAGAGCTCTCTCGAAGCGATTCTTTCATGTGAGGTTCTCCAGAAGGAAATGACTGTGCGATAAACTTGGCTAACGGCGTTGACTCTGGAAAGCTGTTCGTGTCCACAAACAGTAATTGAGCAACAAACAAGTCCTATGGAGTTCAGACAGCGCTTACCAATGGAAAATGTTCAGTCCCATAGGGATAGAGCGTTGTGTTGGATGGTTTAAATATCACAGACGTCCTTTACTACCGCGGTCGCCCAACAACACAAATATCGCACACTTGGCCGGTAATCAGTAGCCGTTGGCTCGTTCTCACTGTTACGGCTTTTGTGTTCCATAGTTATCATAAGCCAGACTGGTACCATTTTTTCCGATACACCGTCTTCCATGCGGAACTGAAAGTGAACGCACTTCCTCCAATGCCTTTCTTCTCAATTCCTATTCTAGATACCAGTTGCCAGTGCTCTGGTCTCCTGTTTGGACTGGAACCGATTTTACGAGCACTCCCAGCCTGGTTTCGTTTTGCCCAATGTCTTCGACGGTACCGCGATATGCGGGTGAAAAAGTTGTCACCTCATGTGATAAATGCCGGAAAGTATTCCACTACTTTTCTTGTCCAAGGATGTACTGTATGGAGGGCGTTGAGCAAGGGTAAGTCATAAGTACTCACTCGTCAATTTAGTTCCCGGTAATTCGATTCAATTTTGCTGATCAGCTGATTTATCTGAATTACTATTCTATTATTTACTAGTTCGTTGGTAAAGTTGTGGCACGGCGTGGTTTGTTCGTGCTTGTTGAAGCTAATCTTCAGCACAGCATCTATCATTTTTTATGCGAACCTGATGGCTTGCTGGAGCCCTTGAATACTTCTGACGCTTCTGCGCAGTGTAGCACTGAGGGTGAAACTGTCAGTGGCCGACCCGATGATGAGAGGTGAACTGTACACTTGTTTAAACCACAAGCAACAAAATAGTATGAAGTTAGATGACCACAGAAGCGCTGCTGTTGTTCACTTCTATCAGTGAACTGGTAACGAGGCAATTAAAACCGGGTATTTGATTGTGCAGCATGTACTTCGGTTTCGGAGAACATCCAGCATCATCGACCGCGGTGGCTGGGTTACATTTCGGCTATGCTGAAACATTGCTTCCCGAGACGAGTGTTGTTGTCCGTGTCTCTTTCAAAATGAGGGTGAACAGCGTATGATTTGGCAGAAGGGTGCAAACAGATTATGAAGAGTTTGGGTGTTGTTGATGCGGTGCACCAGTCAGGATGGCATCCCCGTGAACCCACCATACTTGACTGGAGACATTCTGAGAAGCGGTGACCAATTGTTGTCAGTGGCGTTTGTGCTGTCAGTTTCTTTCCATATTGTCTGATTGAGCATTTGGAGGCGTAGGCATCCCAGAATGCTTGCGGTACGGTGGTGTTGGGTCCCTCTTTTAGTTTTGTGGCTTTAAGTCTAATGGTTAAAACCTTGTGGTCATACGGTTGTGAAGCGTCGGTTTCAACACTGATTTTGCTGTCCCTGATGATGGATAGGTGGCACCCGAGTGCCACATCACACTTGATTGCAGTTAGAATGTCTACTTAACATTGGCAAGGCCTTCCTTTCCTATTCTCATTCCCAACAGCCTTGTCAGTGGCTTTGTGCTGTCAGTTTCTTTCCATATTGTCTGATTGAGCATTTGGAGGCGTAGGCATCCCAGAATGCTTGCGGTACGGTGGTGTTGGGTCCCTCTTTTAGTTTTGTGGCTTTAAGTCTAATGGTTAAAACCTTGTGGTCATACGGTTGTGAAGCGTCGGTTTCAACACTGATTTTGCTGTCCCTGATGATGGATAGGTGGCACCCGAGTGCCACATCACACTTGATTGCAGTTAGAATGTCTACTTAACATTGGCAAGGCCTTCCTTTCCTATTCTCATTCCCAACAGCCTGTCAACTTCTGAGTCAGTTTAAAACTCACCCGGCCATTTCTTTTTCTACGTATCCAGGTAGCGCATCTCTAATAGGTTATCTGTTGGCCCGAATTATCCAGTCAACTTATAGCTATTCTTGGGACATCCGAATGGATTGGGGTTTATTAGACTGTCAGCCTCCCCATCGACTACTGCGTGAAGAGACAGTCTACCAATACCGAGCCTACTACTACTTTGCAATAGTGGAGGATTTCATACTCCGATTCTCCTGGGCCATACGAATTGGTATAGAAGAAACTCTGGCGTGCCCACCGGAGATGCTGGCCACAATATCCGCCACTTTAGAGGTCTTTAGGTGAGTTGTGACACACAGAACTGTTTGCTCAGTCTGGCTTACCTGAAGTTCATCGATGACCTTGTTTTCCTTTAGCATTCAGCAAACAAAGCGTTTGTGGGCCAACAAAAACGTCTTCACTACCTATGGAGAGTTTATGGGACAGGACAAAAGTGTGTTCTATGCTGATTCGTTGCCACAGTGTTGAAACAGACACTTCTGTCTTCCAAGACTATCGTTCACACCGCTGCGGTCCAATTCATTCAGTCAAGAGGCACACCCTATTTGAAAAAAACTCAGGAAATTACCTTTTCATGATTGAGCTTGTACTATTTTGGCCCTGTATGAGATAGAATTATGTGTGTATACTGCGTAGTACAGATCCACCGTCTGGATGATATGAGTAATGTAGCTGAAGTTCGGAAATATCCCTCGGTTAGGCGCCTAGCTGCCATGCCACCCGAAGGCTGCACGAGGGCTGGGATACTGCCAGGTTGCCCAGACCTAGACAGGGGAAGTCGAAAGGCAGAGGTCGGGTTCCAACCACGGACCCTCCGGTCATTAAATTCGCGCTCTAACCACTTGAAGCATCTCGCCCCCACTGTTGCCATCCACCAAAAGTTGGCTGAGCTCATCAGCCAGTGTTTAACGGGATACTTTGAAAGGAGCAACTAAAGCAAATTCACATACGCTTAGAATTTATTATTTCTCGTTTGGTCAAGAAAACCACACAGCATTCAGGATAGACCGCTGTCCACAAATGTGAACAGATACGAACGTATCTTTCTCGTCTATTGCTTCTAAGGAGGATTCGCACTGCCACAAAATCCCCAAGTACCTCGTTCGTTCTCCTCTGGATTGTTATGAAGCCTGTGATTAAAAATGGACCCTGAAGAAATGATCGAAGTTAGACATCCGAGGGGCATCGACTGGAGTTCATCATCATTGCTCATCTCATGATACCTAATGGAGAATCAAATTCGGACAGGAGTTGAACATCCCATGGTTGATGGGCAGTGTTTTTGCTTCGCACGTATGCAAGTTATGGTACTTCGTAGTTTTTGTCTCCTCGCAACTCTGCTTGTGCGTGAGCACGGTCCGTCGCTTCAGCTCTATAGTGCGGGACAGAGCAGTGGCTAGCAGAAGTGTTCCACCCTGAAGCGAAATTCTGTCTTGCTGGTTGCTGTGGAGATAAGTTAAAGGCTGTCACTCAACTAAGTGATTTGCTCCGGTCAACACTGCTATCGCTAGGGCACTAAAATCATGGGAACAGGAACTGAAGGTGGAGTTTCTCGTAGTGAGCGACTGGCATCGGGACTAGCTTCTTTGGTATATTCCTCATCTGTTGAGACGTCATCATTTCTCACAATGATTTCCGAAACCTCGAAATTATCACACAAGCAGAAATGAGCATACTACTTTGCCTATCATTCCAGTATGAGTTATCCTGATATCAGCGAGATAGGTTCAACGGAATCTTTCTGTTTTTATGCTACACTGTTTAGCTACGGAGAAGAGGCGATTCGTCCACAAAATTCTCACGAGTCTTAGGATTCAAGAACCGTGTAAACGAAATTTTCGGTCCACTGGTGTGAGATAGTCAGAGCTATGTGGTATGTAAAGCACTGAAGTGGCAAGTTGAATTCAACTTTTAGCTTGGTTGGGTGCACCTAATGCGCAAATCAGAGTCTTATTGCGCTCTGATTTTCTACATGTGTGGCGTTGATGAGTCCTGATAACATTCACGTCATTCTTTCACCATTGGAGACCTTTTGTTTGCATGGTTCGTCCCATAAAAACGATCAAAGTCTACACATAAACTCAATTTCTAAGGAGAAATTTTATTTTGTGATTCCACTAGAGAACATTTTCGGAAATGACCTTGGAAGATGGAATCGCCCAGACCTATTTTGGTCAACCTAGTCAGGCCCTACTAATGCTCAGATCAATCTGGGTTTGAGACGGAGCCGATAATGTTTGAAGGGATGTCACGGTTACTAGCTGAAGAAATATAGTTCTGTAGTCACAAATTATAACACAGACTAACCGTTTAACCAAAGGACAGCGCACAGAAACCACCGTCGTTAAAACTGTGGTGGTCGCTCACCTCAACAGGTTTTTATCACTAAGTTGTTTGTTCTGTTCACTCGTCTAACCTGCCTCAAACTTCTTGTTGCCAGGCGATTCGTCTGGAATTTTTTCCGACTGGAGAACGAACATCTGAATAACTGCGGCGAATTCAGAGCTGTACGTGATATATTTATTAGACCCGAACGTCGTGAGGCCGGTGTTAATGCGAGCAACGTCAACGGACTGCGCCAACTCAACATAGGAAAAAGATTAAAGAGGAAGAGCAGTGACGACGACCTGACTAAGGTCGGAAATTCTTATCTTCAACCTGTTAACAATAGTTCTGCTGACAAGACCACGAAAAGCGCGCGTATATGGGATCGTGTGGCGAACGTGTTTGTGAGCCAACGACCATCATACAAGACCCAGCTGGACAACGCAGGCATGGTCGAAATGGTTGAAGCCGGCCATAATCGCGTCGGATTTCAGTACGCCACTCCAAGCAAGGTGGCGATACAAGATAACTTAACGTACAGATCAGCTGAAGACATCTATCCTGTGACAGCTGACCAGTCTGTCGGTGACCAGGTGGATTCCACCCGCCGGACCAACACACCACCACTGTCGAGACTTTCATCCTATCAGCAAGATGTGGTGAGTTGTTTGTGATAACTAAGCAATACGTTCCATGATTTTTTCATTCAACACTGTTTTTCGGATGTTATGCGTACACACCAGCATAGAACTGGCTGGAACTTGTTACAACACCTTCAGTGCTTTTGGTTGGCGTTGATTCTTCCCCAGTTCATGCAAAATAAACTCATCTGACTGTATATATTCGTGTGTAAAAAGGTGGGTACAAAACTGAATGCCTCAAACATGTCTGAACAGCTGTGGTTGTTAGCCTTGTTTCGCATCCAGGAATGCTTGCTTGAATCTTGGTTCACTTTGGGTGTGATACACAATAACGAGTAGGATGAGTCTACTCCACGGGTATGCAACATCCTGGACACAGACGATGATCTGGGGTTGTTTCTGTAGGAATCTCACAATCTTGGAAGCGCTTCGCTTGTTTTCATTCATCATATCTTTGCTCCTTTGTGTTACACAGGAGAATCGAATTCGTTCACCGATGCCATCCATCGTCACTCTGCATGTTCCCGAAGAAGCAACGCTGCGTAAAGCGAAATCGAAAGGTACAGTGAGCTTCGTGTCTCTGGTGGACAGGAGTACCAGTCCCAGCCTAAACTCAAAGGATGCATCTTGGGACTCTGTCAGTAGTTCGGACGGTGAGCCAGCTCCGCTACGACAGAATGCCACTACAACCACTCTGCTGATTGAGGACCCTGAGCGAATGCAAGAAAAGAAATGTGCCACACTTAGCCCAGAGTTTACCTCTCCAAACTCAGCGGATACATTTCGACCGCAGTTTAACGCGGAGTCGTACACCTCCCTTGGCTCGATAACGAGTGGACAGCAGGACTGTTCCAACCAGAGCAGCGTAGAGCGGATTGTGATCGTTTCTCGAACCTATGGGGAAGTGGATCCGCTGCAACCGACAACAGAGTTACGGTAAGTGCGTATAGGGAACGTTTGTAATCGGCCATCTGTCAAGTCAGCCCGTTGGAATCTATCATCCATTGTGGGGCGTTTTTCTTTAGCAAATAGAGACCTTTCTCACCCTGTTTCTTTCAAAAGGACGCTCTGATTCATATTTGGCAGGCATGAAAACCACATTTTAATAATGGTTAGATGAGACACCACCGCTGTAAAGTTAAACTTCCAGAGTAGTGTGAAATTTCAAGGCAGCTGAGGATCTTCATCGCATCCTTCTGGTAACTTTTATGTGGGAGGCATTTCATTGGAATGCCATTATTACAAGCATCCTGATAGGCAATCCAATCAACTAAAATGAATAATATTCCCAAGGAAAAAAAACAAATGCGATATATCGGACGCGCGGAAGTGGGAATACGCAGGAAGATAATATTCCAGACATAGTTTACCGAAATATACCGCTTCAAGTACTCCCCAAGTGTTAGTCAGCGAATAACTACCTTAACGTTCAATATTTACACTAGCCACAGAACCTCACCATACGTGACTTAACGGTAAACTTGGTTGCTACCAGTGATCTAATCGTAACATGTACGGGGTTTTAGAGGGAGAAGGTGAAGTACGACTGTGGGACGAACATAGCCGTCGACTTTGAAAACGTGAAAAGGTAATGCAACACAACGAACGGCAATTATGTAGTGCACCACGAACGCAATACGTTAATATGGCGGACAGGATGCGCGTTTAAGGAAATACAGATGAAATTAAAAGACATACGTTAAACTACCCATTTCTCTCGCCCCCATCTGGAGTAATTCGATTGTATTCTTTTACGATCGAAAAAATAGGTAGACTTGTTCAGTCTTGATGGTGTTTTTTAGTGTGTATTCGCCAAGTTATCTGTAACAACTACGAGGGTGAAAATAACACCAGGTTATCGTAACCGAGACAGGAAGGGGGACAAGTCAAATAGAGTACAAAGTGAACCGAGTTGTCAGAACCTACAGTTTTTGTGATACTATTGAGACGATCCCATTTACAGCCCTTTAATCCATGGTTTACGTCAGCGAAATTGATGCAACATTTTCTGCAAACTTCACTTAGCACAAGCCCAGCATACGACGGGCGGACGTTGGCTAGCCAGCTGGTGTATCTGCGACCCCACGTAGGGTTTCCAGGTATATGAAAATAGGATAGCGTGGACCCGGGCTGGGAAAGCACCGTGGTCTCACGGTGCTCCACTTCAAGGCAATCACCTTCAGTTCACGCTGTTATTTCGTAGCTTGCCCCGACAAACTTCTCTCCAAGAGGGATTTCGAGCGGAAAACAGTACTTTCTTTGATACACAGTGGTTTGGCATGTATAACCAAGTTCCTAATCATACCAAGCCGAACAGCTTTATCCGCTTCTCCCTTGGCTCTCATCATCATCATCATCAATGACAGCAACATCAGTGTTGGCACTGATGCTTCACTGCCGTACAACCATAAAGTTCTGAATCATTACCAACCACTGGCTTGCGCGTTGCTTCATTGTGTGCGTTTGCAGCTGAATCATGCCTGCCACTCGAAGATTTAGATGATCGAAATCGGAAGACAGTTGAGGTCTTCGGACCGAAGGGACCAGGTCCAACATCTACAAAGTGAGGCGGTTCTCATGCCTTTATTCATATACGGCCACTGGACATCTGCGAACTACGTCCTTGAGGTCAGAAATGACGGGTTGTTGAGAAATTGCGTTATCTTTACCTATTTCATCAAAACAGCAAAAGACACAGATTGTGAGATGTGTACATCCCACGTGCTTTCATGGGTCGCGAAAGTAAATTTTACATGTATAACAAAACCTTGGATAGGGTCAATACTTTTGTGAAAAGAGTGTTGATTGCTAGGTTTTAGTAAAATTACTCCACAAAATGCTGTAAACTTCGGGGTTTTGTTGTGCAGTAGGATAATGAACGTGAGAGAGTGGTAACTAACCTTCACAGTAAGCCAGACATGCACTCTGATATGCTTGGCGCTGCTTCGAAGAAATAAGTCCTGCTATGCTCATCGTTCAAGGACGACCACACTACCAACAACCTAAGACGAAAACTCAAATCTGCGCTGAATCACATGCTGCTTTATTATACCTGATCTTTGCAACCACAGGGCTTGCAGTTCAGACTGAGTCCAACAGTATGCCTCGTCACTCTACCTCGTGTGTCGAATGTCAGCTCACTTGCAGTTGCAGTGAAACATACATAGATTGCTTTCTCAGCGGATTACTGAGTATTTACCGGAAAGCGTTGCTGGGGGGAGGGCGTTCAGCATGTAGAAAACAGGGTGGTAGCGACACATTACTAAGGGTCATTAATTACGCAACATATTAATGAGACGTGGCATATGGTCGACACCTCCCTACCCTCCAAGATTCTGCTGCGCAACAAAAACCCGAAGTTGGAATGGCGTCAATCAGAACACAGCAACTAACACTATGTTTACAAAAAGTATTGATTTGCGTCATCTGCTGACCCTATCCTGACTTGTGTCACATGATTTCACGTGACATTCGACGCCCACTCTCTGTTACTACGACTTTTGCTCATAAACGTAGAATTTAAGTCTGAGACTGATAAATGGATCTGAACTGTTAACATCTCACAAGCTGTGTCCTCTTACAGTCTGGATGAAAACTGATTGTGTGCGCATTGGCTTACGGCACCTTGCAGTGTGAATTCCACTACGAAATCTGCGCCATTGAGCGGAAATGAGAGACGGGTTGACAGTGACTGACTTCACTGACTGTAGGGAACTTCTGGATAGTTCATTGTAAACCAAGGTCTGGAAGAAGGACACAAGGTGAAACGACTTTCAGAGCCTAACAGATACTCCTCTGTAGTCAGATATATACGTGGGAGGATCGCTAGAGGTTAGGGAAAATTGTGGGTTGTTAATGAATATTTACATTCTGTAAGTGAATGCAGTCTCCTGAAAAACAGAGCTGTATGACTGTTTCATCCTTCGTGAGGATCAACAACAGCGCATATCTCACGAAACCCCAGCTGAGGATCTCGAACCTACGGCCTTCTAGCCAGAAATCATGAGCGGATGATCATCAATTCGATTTGCTCGCACTTAGGATATAGCAATAAGAAACAATTTAAATAACTGAAAGTGATGATGACGTAATCCTTGCGTACCAGCCACAAGGTCGCAGAAGTAGATGAAGACATTGCGACTAGATATCAGTAATACCCTGATGATTTTTCCTTCCACCACAAGTAACCACAAGCTTTCTGGAACGTCAAGATTAACTTTGCACTCCCTCCGTCACCATCAATCTTTCAGTACTAGAAGCGCGTCTGAAATGAGTTCAACGCGAGGACAAGAAGTACAAAACACACCGGTGGTATGTCACACACCCGAACAAAGTGAAGCACAACCTGACAGACAGATAGCTCAAACCGACCACATCCGTTCCAGCCGGTCTGGTCAGTGACCCTCAGATTTCCCCCATACATAAATCAAGCATAATCTCAGGATGTGTGTCGCACATGCTCAACAACCCTGTGTAATGTCACTCCGATGTGACTCGCCTTGTCTCCAACGCCAAGTTCTTTTGCTCATTCAATCCTTTACCCCATGACTTTTGTTACCTTTAAAAAATTGTGACAGAAGCATGGACGCATACGCGTTGACTGTTGTTCGTTCGATTGTTCCTCATTCACAAATCCTGAATATGGTCTTTCTAATCTTCTCCCCACCAAGCGCCGCTGGTATTATACCTTTTTTCTAACACGATAACGGTCTATAGCTTTTAACGAAATAACTTGCCCTATCGGGGCTGATGAATTAAAGCATGTGCAATTTGTTTAGAATAAATACTATAAGGCTTTCGTCACACTGAATGAGTTGTTTTGGCTACTTACTCGTGTTCGAGGAAGAGGCTTTTGGTTGCACTGACTAACTGCACAATCCATTACCGGATCCGGTTTATTCGACAATCCGGCTAGACCGATTCCCTCTCGCACATATCCCGAAAAACCGGCTTGAACCGTATAGGATGTAAATGCTAGTTTTACAAATGGCTGACTTACTTCCAAACATGATGTAATGCCCCTGGTCACCTGAAATCATCTTCATCAGTTGTGAGAACCGCGTACCTACCGTACAGTGGTTGTAGCTGCCACAATTTCGTCCACCCATGAATTGGGGAGGTGAGGTACGTAGGGGTTGGAGCATAAGGCCCTTCGGTCAGATAACTGATAGCCAACGACGTTGACTTGTGTGATGAGAAGTGGTTAAAGAGGGACTGGTTGACAACTGACAAGTCGAGGCATCGAATCTTTCTGTATTAAGTAAGCTTAGAAGTCTGCAGTAGTAAACACATAGATGGGACACTAACACGTCGGGTGCAATCAGGAGATGTCAGTATGTAACATCTCCGATTACTTTCATCCATGGCTTACAAGTGTAGGCTCCTAGTCATATCTACTGCAAAGAACTACTACAGGAAGAACGATCGTTCAAGAAGATCCAGTCAACTAATGACTAATCATGGTACTACAGAGTCGCAAGGGCATACTTCTCATCCATTGCATATAGTTTATTCGCTAAAGGTGAATACTGGGATGGAATAGTCCAATTCAAAAAGGGTTAAATGATCAGTCCTGAAAGGGCGATCTTTGAGTCTACTAGTAAGTCATGGTGAGTCAGAAAATCTGCTCCCAGAATGAGTCTACTATCATGGTGAGTCAGAAAATCTGCTCCCAGAATAGGCTGATGTACGTCTGCAATGATGAAAAACCATTTGAATACTCTACGCTACGTGAGGTTGAGGTCTAGCGCTCTTTGTCCATACGTTTTTATGCAAGTGGCGTTTGCCGCCCTCAATGTGAGTGGGGAGGGCGTCAGTTTGGAGTCCGCAGCGGTTACAGGTATTACGCTAATATCAGCACCTGTTTTTCTACAGAGGAGAATGTCGGTAGCTCAGGTAGCGTAGATGGTCGTTGGCTTGTTCGCTG